TTTAATTTCCAGGAAATTTATATCTTTTATGTATGTTTTCTTTCTCTGATAGGAAAACCGCAAGAAATTTTAACCAGCCCATGTGCAAAGCTGCTAAAACCACGGTAGTAGAGGTAATGTAGAACACTGTCATTTTCCCCATAACTGATAATCTATTTTCTTTGAATAAATTGGATATGAATGAATGAAATACCATATATACTTGGTATAAGCCAACTTGAATATAAGCAGAGGCACCTAATTTTACCACAAAAAACTGGGAAAATGTATAGAATCGAGTATAAGCTGAGGGTGGAAAATGCAGCAGTTACTGGTAAATTTCAAAAATAAAAATAAAAATAGATACCAATACAATTACATTAATTGAAGTATCAGTAGGTTCAATATTTTGAATATTTACATAAAAGTGCAATTTAAGATAAGACTGTCCAGCTCTGATTAAACCATTATTCTAACTATACTAGGCTGTAGCACAGCTGGTTAATCACCAGCTGTAATAGATCACTGCTGACCAGAAGGTGACAGGTTCAAAGAAGCCCAAGTCAGATTGAGCACCCAACTGTTAAGCCTAGCTTACTGTCTACCTAAGCCAGGGGTCCACAAGCTTTTTAAACAAAGGGCCAGGTCACAGTTCCTCAAACTGTTGGAGGGCCGGATTATAATTTGAAAAAAAAAAAAACATGAATGAATTCCTATGCATACCACATATCTTATTTGTAGTGCAAAAATCACTTAAAAACAGTACAATAATTAAAATGAAGAACAATTTAACTAATATAAACTTATTAGCTCTCAATGGGAAGTGTGGGCCTGCTTCTGGCTCATGAGATAGGATTGTTGTTGTTGTTGTGTGCTTTCAAGTCGTTTCAGACTTAGGTTGACCCTGAGCAAGGGCCGGGTAAATGACCCCTGACCTAAGCAGTTCGAAAGCAGCTGAGCTGTGAGTAGGAACTGCTTAAAACAGGGAGATATTTTACAACACAGTAAAAATGCCATCAGTCAAAGAGCAAGGAGGAAATATGATCAAAATGACTTGGCGTCATAGTGGATGAAGCGACAACTCCCCCCGTGGCCGGAATCGAGCATAACCTCCAGGCATCGAAGTGGAAATGCCAAAAATACCTCTATCTGTCTTGTTGCCTGTATGTCTAGAAAACGGCATCGAATGTTTACTGTGTATGTGTGCATTGTGATCTGCTCTGAGTCCCCTTCGGAGTGAGAAGGGGAGAATATAAATACTGTAAATAAATAAAACAATATAAACAAATATTAATTAATTAATTAATAACCTTCAGTGTAAATGTGCTTACATATCCTTTCAGTAATAATAGAGTAAAATAATAAATGTAATAATAATAATAATAATAATAATAATAGAGTAAAAAAACTTTGACTTGGATGCAAGCCGAGGTGTGCATTTTCAGCCTAAAAAAGGGGCTGAAAAACGCAGCTTATACCCGAGTATATACTGTAATTAAAATGGGGTCCTGCTTAAAGTGAAAGACGAGGCATAAATTTTAAAATCGAAGTTTATCAACCAACAAAAAGGTCAGCAAGATATATAATTTTACAACTGAGCTGCTCCCCTTGGAGTTTCCAACTTGTATGGTGCACCTCTGCTTTATCTAATCACTTCAAGGATTGCTTTTTGTCTTTATCTTCTAAAACAAAACCATCTGTTTCGCAAACAGTGATTTAGATTACATTGGGATGGGATGTTTGTCCACATGTGAGAGCAGGTTGCTCTTCACCTTCCTTTGGCAGTCTCTTGCAAAAGCTCCCAGGCCTTTGCAAAGAGCTCAAAGAGAGGTGATATAATTGAAACCATGCAGCTGATGACGGTGGGGAGCTGATGTTGCCTTTGCTTCAAGCAGGAGTGGAATGAGTATTAACCGCTGTGACATGGACATACAGATGAGAAAGGAGCACCTGCTTTCAAAAGTAAATGAAAAAGGCTTCCTGCTCATTTCTGCACTGAGCTGTTTCATTCATACAGCAATGCTCTTCTGTCGGGGTCTCCATTATTTCAGTTAAAATTTGACAGGGACTGCATTTCACCTTGGGATCTGACCAAAAGAGGAGCTCACACTGACCCGGGCTTCAAACTGTCATCCTTTTGGTTGGCAAGATTTACTGCAGCTGGTGGTTACCTGCTGTGAATCAAATACTATACTTTCAAATACGCAACACATAGGGAATACTTTGTAAATAAAGGTTACATTTACTTAACATGACCTCTTTTCCACTGCCTTTTCAGTCTATAATCTCCCTTGGTCTTGCCCAGAACTATTAGTTTTTGGAAACAAAGATGACAATAATTTTTTTGTAACAAATTTATGAAATTTGCCCTTCATTACAGTCGGAAGCAGTGATCAATTTTGAAGTAAGAATGCTGAATATCAGATAGCCTGTTTTTTTTAGTTAGGTTTGGGGAGTCGTAGCCATTTTTAAATAGTAGTGGCATAATTTATCCGATGTAAGGGGTGTTTTTAGTATTTTTATCATGCGGACACATGAGAGAATCCTGCCAAAAGGATGGTAAAACATCAAAACATCCGGGCGTATCCTGGGCAACGTCTTTGCAGACAGCCAATTCTCTCACACTAGAAGCGACTTGCAGTTTCTCAAGTTGCTCCCGACACAAAAAAAAATATCATAATATCAGGGTTTGAATCCCATGGAAACGCTCTGGGTGACCTTTGGTAAGTCACGCTCTCTCAGTCTCAAAGAAAGATGATGGCAAAGCTCTTCTGAACAAATCTTGGCTAATAATAATAATAATAATAATAATAAAAAATCCCATGATAGGTTTGCCTTAGGGTTGGCATAGGTCAAAAGCAACTTCAAAGAGTGCAACAACAACAATAATAAATAAACTTTATTTATACCCTGCCACCATCTCCCCACAAGGGACTCGGGGCAGCTAACATGAGGCCATGCCCAAAAATACAATACAGCAAAAATAAAATACAACAAAAATTAAATACATACAATAACAAAACAAAACAAATAAAGCAAATTAACACAATGAACGATTTCTAACCATTCTTACTCCAATTTTTTCTTTCTTTTCCCCACTTTGCTTCATATTATACTTTGTAAATGGATTTTTTCTTGCCAAAGATGGGGAAGCTAAGCTATTGAAGGTGTAGTTTTTCTTAAACTTAAAAAAAAAAACATATATTCTGCAATAACTAGAGTCATAAGGTGATTTTGAGTTGTCAAAAGGAAAAATGACAAAAGGGGATAGAGTGGGGGCTTAGCATTGCATGAAGAAGTGCTTTTTCATCCGTAACTAATTAAGTAAATGTAATTAAAAATCCTTCAGTGTGTACCTGGTTGCTTAGCAACAATACTCCTGGTTCATTATCATTCTGCTATCACAGGTACAATGCACCTCATTACTCTGTGGGACAGAAATGAATAGTTTCCATTAGTCACCTACATTTTTGGCATTTGTTTTTATTGTTAACTCTGAGGCACTGGGAAATAGTTGCGTTTATAAATAGTTTCACAATGCATAACATTATAGCTCAGGTTTTGTCCCATGTTTAATTCCATCTTGCTTGTTAGAATTCCAATAAATTATCCATGTGTCATTTTTCTAAAAGTGTTAGAGGTGGCCAGAGGGAGCTTGAAAGGAAGGTTTCCTTTCTCCCCCTCCCCCTCCTGAAATGTTCAAATATTTTCCCCAACTTTACACCAAACTACATATTAGTCCACCACTGCATAACCAGCCTCCCTTTAGAAGCCTCCATTAACCCAAACCAACATAACCAATGTTTGGGGATCATGGAATTGGAAGATATATAAACCTCCCTTGCTTAATTTCCAATGTACCTCACAACCTCTGAGGATGCCTGCCATAGGTGTGGGCAGAACGTCAGGAGAGAATGTTTCTGGAACACGGTCATACAGCCTGGAAAACTCACAGCAACCCACATGGAAGATGCTTGTTTAGAGAAGGCTCCTTTAGCTCTTTGGCAATGAGTTTAGTATCTATCAAGCTTGTGTCCTTGCTCCATTGTATTCCTACATGGCAACAAGAAGGTTTTATGATTTTGCTTCTGGTTAGATTAATCACAGCTAGTTGTCTTGTCTAAAGTCTGACAGACTGGTTAGTGTTAACTATATATAAACTGATGAAAACAAGCCAAATTCCTGATTATAGTTTGTGAAGTAAAGTTTGATTTCAGTAGCTATAATTAAAATTAACCATGTTTCAAGGTTTAGATGATATGGTAACCTAGGTTTAGAGCAGAATATTTCAATTTGGAGTGGAACTCTCTGCCCCAGTGAGTGGTGGAAGCTCCTTCTTTGGAGGTTTTTAAACAGAGACTGAATGGTCATCTGTCGGGGGTGCTTTGAATGCGGTTTTCTTGCTTCTTGGCAGGGGGTTGGACTGGATAGCCCATAAGATCTCTTCCAACTCTATGAATTTCATCTTTCTAAATTGATAAAGAATCAATAATAATAATAATAGCATTTACATCCTATTTTCCGCCAAGACTGGGTGCTTAAGGTTGGGAGAGCATGAAAACCTGAAGGAAAGTTATTCTTTTTGTAATGCCTTACTATTAAGCTTGAACCAGCCCTTAGAATGAGTGCATTATGTGTTTATCCTAAATGTAACTACATATCAACAACTCCACTAACCCCAAAAATTCAAACAGTGTGTTTGTAACAAATTATAAGTAGAACAGTAGAGGAAGTATATAGTTGAACAGTGCCACAGTTTCTGCTTGAAAAATAGCTCCAAGCTTTAAAAACTTGGTCATTTGTCCTTTAATTTCCCTGTACATTTTAAAGATATTTATAATTTTAATGATAGGTATGAATTCTCAAGAGATCAGTTAAATCTGCTGTCACCTGGAGGAATGATATGAGACAAGACCTTTATCTGACAGATTATACCATTACTGTGTTGTCTATGGAGCTGAAGTTCTACCGTGCATATACCATTGCATTAAATTACTCAGATAATTGGGCTGAATCTTCACTAAAAGCAAGTTTCTTATAGTTGGGTTGTTGTAGGTTTTTTCGGGCTATATGGCCATGGACTAGATGCATTCTCTCCTATTAGTAAAAAGGTTTTTTTATATCTGTGGAATGACCAGGGTGGGACAAAGGACTCTTCTCTGCTGGAGCTAGGTGTGAATGTTTCAACTAACCACCTTGATTAGCATATAATGGCCTGACAGTGCTTGGAGCAAACTTTTGTTGAGAGGTGATTACATGTCCTTGTTTGTTTCCTCTCTGTTGTGCCATTGTAATTTTAGAGTTTTTTAATACTGGTAACCAGATTTTGTTCATTTTCATGGCCTTCGACAATACATTTCTTATAGTTGATTGCTAAAAGGTGTGCCTAAAACATTAACAACACAGATTACCAGATTTTTGTTTTTATCCGTCATTAGTAAATTTTATTTATTTCATATCAAAAGCATTGCATAAATTAGTAAATAAAAACATCCGAAAGAGCGTGTTGTATGTGTTGACCTTTTGTTATGAATTCTGATTGTTAGGCTCTATTCTGTATTTGTTTTGTGATATTGGAAGTGATATTTGCTACTCTAATCAAGTCTGATATGCATTTTCAGTTTCAGCCATACCACTTCATTTTGTTCCAGCATTTGTTTATTGTAGTAGGATTGTGAATGTAATACAGACATGGGCAAACTAAGGCCCATGGGCCGGATAGGCCCTCTGGACAACTATGCCTGGCCCTCCAAATTTTACCCGTCCTCTGGAGGCCTGCTGCGTCCTTCTGCAGAAAGGACGAGAGAGGAAGGCATGGGGTGGCTGGGAGCCCTCTGGAGTGCTCTCAGCCTGCTGCACAACTTCCTTTGGCCCCCCTCCTGGCATAAGGATGGGGTGTGCGGCCTTGTCCTGATGTCGGGAGAAACCCGGATCAGGAGAAGAAGCAGGTGGCAAGTGAGGCGGCTCCAAAACTACCTCTACCCTTACCTGTATTTCCCTTCTCCAGGCGTCAGGACAAGGTGCAGCCCTGTTCCAATGCTGGGAGAAGCCTGGTCTGGGGAAGGAGGCAGGCGGGGGCCAAAGGAGCTCCAAAGCCCCCTTGGTCTCCACCTGTCTCCCTTCTCCCAGAGTCAGGACGAGATGAGGCCTCATCTTGCTGCTGGCAGAAGTGACAGGCAAGCAGGCCTCTCTCACCTCCCAGCGTAATGATGGGGCGAGCAGCTTCATCCTTACGCCGGGAGGAAAGCCAGAGGATGATCTGCCCCTGGCCCTATACCTATCGCCACTGGCCCGCCCCCCTCCTGGGCTCCCCCCACCTCAGCCCTCTCCCTCCCCAGCCTATCCTGACCCAGCCCAATCTCCTCCTAGGACCACCCCACCCCCAGCTCTGCCTCCTCTTAGGCCTACCCCATCCTCCCCCCTGGCCCGGCCCACAATGCAGCCCCAGGGCAAAAAAGTTAGCCCATGCCTGGTGTAGTAGTAATAGTGATAATCTGACATTTAGGACCTGCAAACTGTCTTGCCTTGAGCACTTGAATTCGAACCTTGGCCTCCTAATACACCCGATTGTAATAGCTCTTGGAACTATTTGACCATAATGCCATGCTGATCTTCCAACTTTTGGCAAACACTAGTTTTGTTCCCATGGTTTTTTATTTTCCAATCTTTGAAAAGTTGTTATATTTGGGAGTGGGAGTGAAATGGATGGATTGTTAGGATGTAAAAGATTAGAATAAAAGGAAATATGGATATTGGTTCTTTGGCTTCAGTTTTCTGCTGTTCTGCCAACTAAAACAAGACCCAAGGAAACTTGACTGTTTGCTTCTGTTCAGTTAGAAATTGCACATTGGATTTCCTCCCAACTGTGTTTCTCAAACCTAGTAGGAGTTTCTGTGTCCTTCTACTATTATGTTGAAATGTGAGTTTGAGTCACGACGTGTTGGCCTCTCTGCTATTTCAATCCTCTTCTGCAACTGAAAATGACAGATGTCGTGAAGAAGAATCTTAGTAAGGAAGAATTTTAGTGCAGTTGCTTTATTTTTATAGAGAATCTGGTGGCAGGAAAGTCATTGGTTAGGAAGTAATGCTAGGGACTACATGGGATTGCTGCCAGAATGGCTGGGATGGCAATGTCTTGGTGTTTGGAGGTCTGCATTGGGTGGTCAATGGGGTCCAGAATGTCAACTAAAATTCTGCAGTCGCTTCTGCAATCCTTTCCATAGTTGCTCCTGAAATTCAGCAATTACAGCTACTTCTATGGTGCATAAGAATGCCATAGTACAGTGGTTCTCAACCTGTGGGTCCCCAGGTGTTTTGGTCTAAAACTCCCAGAAATCCCAGCCAGTTTACCAGTTGTTAGGATTTCTGGGAGTTGAAGGCCAAAACATCTGGGGACCCACAAGCTGAGAACTACTGCCATTGTACCACCTGTAAGGATTTGCAGACTGCCCTGGTCAAAGTGGTTAATTCCCTTTAGGTAGGGAATGGGAAAAAGAAAACACTCTTTCTTCTGATGCTACTGCATCTTGGTGGTACGCTTGTGTGAATGCTGGCAGCAGCAATTTCAATGGCAGCAGAGGTAGTGTCACAGTGCATGAGAGCCACATATTGTCAACATCTATATATTGCCATCATGTTCTGCAGAGTTCAATTCCAATAAGACTCACATAACATTACACTGATCAACATTGACATTAAGCTTGTGACTGCTCTCAGCTGTTCATTCTAAGGTTAATAGTCTGCAGAACCTTCAGCTTGTTTTTTAAAGGTAGGTCTATGTGTTCCTGGAGAGATGGCACTTAAGCTTGGAAAGCAGAGTTTCTCCAAGCTTATACTCTTCCGAGTCAATTGTACTGTAACTACTTCAACACAGCTGAAACCCAGTGTGCAATGGTCTGCTAATCCTTGTATGATTCACATTGCTTTTGTCCTCTTATTCTTATCTTTCCTGCTTTTCATGTCTGCACAGGTAGAAGAAATTGTTGATGTGGGGTCATTTGCCGCAGAAGATATTCATGTCCCTAAGATCTATGTCCATCGCCTCATCAAAGGGGAAAAGTATGAGAAAAGAATTGAGGTGAGTTTGGAGGTTATTTGCAACCTTCTTTATCTTGCTTTTGTTATTTAAGAGTTGTAACAAGCAGCTTCGCAGGATGTTCCTGCTGCAACTTTCCCCTCAGCACAGTGTGTTTGGCTTTTTCACACTCTTCTGATTTCTAAAATGTCAAAGATTCGTAGATTTTCAAACGCAGCTTTACACAGCTACAGGGGTTGGAAATGTGCATGCCTTTTAAGCAAAATTTATTGTTCTCATGAAACTGGGTTATGTAACCAAAGTAACCTTTTCCGTGTGCCTGTCGATTATTAGCATATATAATGCTTTGTCCCCAGCAGTTGTAAATGAAAGGCAAAGCAAATTGCAATCCATGAAACAAAATATATATGCCTATTTCTTCATTATTACTCATGTCTGACCTTTATTTTGTAGCTCTCAAACATAGAAGTAGATCGGAATTTGACATGATGAGGACCGTGGGGTTCCTAAATCCTAGCAATTAATCATCCCTGGTTTATAGCACAAATGTATGGTTGAATCGGTAGCCCCACAAGAAACGAAATCACTCTGCCACCCCATTACCTCAAGCAGGTGATGGAGCCTGCCTGAGCCTTCCACCCCAAGTAAACACTGCAACATAATCCCATAGTATGAAAGAACTGAAATGAGGCACAGGCATCGGTAATGTCAACATCTGCAAACCAAAAGTGATCCCTGGCTCTTTCATAAGAAAGCCAACATAGTGTATTATGGGTTTTATTTATTTATTGTGTCAGGAGCAGACCAAACAGTTGTACTGCATTTTTTAACAAACAAACAAACAAACAAACAAACAAAACACAAAGTTTGTAAGCTTGGTAGTTGATTAAATGTCCTTTGACCAGTAGCTGACCACTTGGAGTGCCTCTGGTGTTGCTATAAGAAGGTCCTCCATTGTGTATGTGGCAGGGCTCAGGTTGCATTGCAGCAGGTGGTCTGTAGTTTGCTCTTCTTCACACTCGCATGTTGTGGATTCCACTTTGTAGCCCCATTTCTTAAGGTTGGCTCTGCATCTCGTGATGCCAGATTGCAGTCTGTTCAGTGCCTTCCAAGTTGCCCAGTTTTCTGTGTGCACAGGAGGGAGTCTCTCATTTGGTATCAGCCATTGGTTGAGGTGCTGGGTTTGAGCCTGCCACTTTTGGACTCTTGCTTGCTGAGGTGTTCCAGCGAGTGTCTCTGTAGATCTTAGAAAACTATTTCTTGATTTAAGTCATTGACGTCCTAGCTGATACCCAAACAGGGGATGGGCTGGAGATGTCACTGCCTTGGTCCTTTCACTATTGATTGCTACTTCCCGGCGGATGTCAGGTGGTGCGATACCGGTTAAACAGTGTAATTTCTCCAGTGGTGTAGGGCGCAGACACCCCGTGATAATGCAGCATGTCTCATTGAGAGCCAGATCTACTGTTTTAGTGTGGTGAGATGTGTGCCACACTGGGCATGCGTACTCAGCAGCAGAGTAGCAAAGTGCAAGGGCAGATGTCTTCACTGTGTCTGGTATTATGGATGTAGCAGCAGGACTGTATACTCTCACTTTACCTATTCAATTTGTATGCAGAACACATCAGGTGATGTGTGGGACTTGATGAATCTAAGGATGGAGTCAAAATTGCTGGAAGAAACATTAACAACCTTAGATATGCAGATGATACCACTTTGATGGCTGAAAGTGGAGGAGCTGAGGAGCCTTATAACCAAGGGGAAAGAAGAAAGTGCAAAGGCTGGGTTGCAGTTAAACATAAAAAACAAGATTATGGCAACCAGACTAATTGATAATGGGCAAATAGAAGGAGAAAATGTGGAAGCAGTGGACAGATTTGTATTTCTAGGCATGAATATTACTGCAGATGTATACTACAGCCAGGAAATCGGAATATGTTTATTTCTTGGGAGGAGAGAAATGGCCAATCTTGATAAAACAGGGAAGAGTGGAGACATCACACTGGCAGTGAAGATCCACATTGTTAAAGCTATGGTATTCCCACTAGTAACCTATGGATGCAAGAGTTGGACCATAAGGAAGGTTGAGCAAAGGAAGATAGACACATTCTGAGAGTGCCTTGGAAGATCAAGAAGATCAAAACCCATACTCCAAGAAATAAGGCCTACTGGTCACTGGAGGGAAGGATATTAGAGGCAAAGACGAAGTACTTTGGCCACATAATGAGAAAACGGAAAAGCTTGGAGAAAAATGATGCGAAGGGAAAAGGAAGAGGGGCCGACCATGGGCAATGGGGATGGATGGTATCCTTGAAGTGACTGGCTTGACTTTGAAGGAACTGAGATTGGCCACGGCCGACAGGGAGCTGTGGTGTGGGCTGGTACGTGAGGTCACAAAGAGTCAGAAACGACTGAATGAATAAACAACAAAAGTCTGGTTGTTAGAATAGGAGCCTCGAGACCAGAGTTCATATCCTTCCTCAGCCATTGAAACTCTATGGGAGACCTTGGACAAATCTCTCATCCTCAGAGGAGGACAGTGACAAACCCTCACTGAACAAATCTTGTAAAGATAACCCCATAATCTTAGGGTTGCCATAAGTAAAAAAAATGACTTGAAGGCCCACAACAGCAATAATCTGTTACTTTGTTCAGTTGTGTAAGCAGAGACCACAAACAGAGATTTCAAGGCTTTAGGAGGCTTGAAAGGTATATAACTGCATCTGCTATTATTCACTGTCAATAAATAATAGCAGGTGACGGGAGGAAAGGAATGGAAAGAAGTAATAGCATCCATCATTTTTCCCTATGGGAGAGAGACCATGTAATCCTGTCATCGATTGTAATTATTAAATGTCTACAGCTCCCCCCTCTCACCCCATATAAATATTTCATTTCCTCTGCATCTTTTGGAGAATCCTTGAGTCTCTTGGTGGCGGGAAAGACTGTAGAAACGGATCAAAATTTTATACATTTGAGGTGGGCACTCAGTGGGTTGTAAGTGGCCCCAAAGCTCTTGTTGAGGACCCCAGATCCTCTCCTTCACAAACTGCGCAATCAAAATTCAGTTCCGCACTGCTGCTTCAATTTGCTAGCAAACTGGGAATTGAGAAAACAATTTGTTTTGAAGGGATTTGGGAGGGCCATTTCCTGTTGAAGGTTGGTAAACAGCAAAAACAAACAAAAAACCTGTTTTTCAATGACAACGAAAAGCGAAACAGGTGTTTCCTATTTGCATTTTCTCCCAGTTAGCCAGCTTTTGCAGCAGTTTGGGAGAAGAAATGAACCCAGACCTAGTCAAATTGCCCACCCACTATGTCATTAATTTTAATTAATTATCTACATTTTGCTTTCTTTTCTTTTTCTTTTCTCTCCCAGCTCTGTTTTCTTCCTCTCCCTCACCAGCCTCCTCATTCCTTTTTGCTGTCTCATTTTTAAGTGTTTTATATTGTCTAGACCAATGTTGCAGCAGGGATTAATTTTGGTCTGCTGAGTTCTATAATCCTGCTAGGGATCTGTCTTGTCAAATAGCTTGAAGCTTCTCTATTTACTGACTAGGGGTGAGAGAGAGGAAAGGAGATGGGCAGGAGGTGGAAGGGAGGGAGACGATAAAATCATGTATCTCAGAAGCTTTGGGCTGCATTTTCAAATGCAAATTGCATTGGCTGTAATGCAGTTTTCCACCAGAGTGCTGGATGAGGATTTTAGTATAAAGCAGATTTAAGTAAGGGTGCCTGAAAAAAGAAGATACGCTGTTATCGCACAAGAGGAGGGATAATTATAGTCACATATCTGGCCTGGTTGTGGATGAGAGAACAGGGCAATGATAAACCCAATTCCTTTAAATATATATATATTAAATAGCTATGCTACAAATCTGTTTTCTTAGTTTTCAAAATGGGGAGAAGTAGCATCGGCAGCTAAGGGTAAGGTCTGTGCCCAGAAAGCACTGGACCTTTTAAATATCTAGAGCAGGTGCAGAGCATGGAAATAAATTAACTTGGAGACAAACAGTTCCTAGAATTCTCCACCCAACATGGCCAAGCTAGTTGGGGATTCTGGGAGTTACAGTCCAAAAGGTTATTACCCCCCCCCCATGCTTTTGTACAGAGGTGTTGTAGATCAGTCTGAAACTCCTGAGACTGATGGGTTCACCGATTATTTAGAGAGGATTGTGGGATTGCCTGTGGGATTTCCTGGGACACAAAGTGATGAAGATTCAAGTCAGGGGAATATTGCTTCTCTCTGTGAGAAATATGACTTTGAAAGTGCAGGGATTCAAGGTCAGTCAGAGGAGCCAGAAACTGCAACATTAGATAAGGAGTTGGGCAGAGAACTAAGTGATACAGAAGGCTCCTAGGAAAAGACTTCTGGAGCTATGGAAATCAACAAACGTCTTTCTTTGCAGATCAGAGCAGAAAATAGGAGTTAGATAAGGAGTTGGTCAGAGAACTAAGTGATACAGAAGGCTCCTAGGAAAAGACTTCTGGAGCTATGGAAATCAACAAACGTCTTTGTTTACAGATCAGAGCAGAAAATAGGCATCACAGGTCAGAGCGATTACGTGGGAAAGTTCATGGAAAGTGAAATGCTTTTGTTTAGCAAGTTGTTGTTGTAGCTCAGCCAGCTGAAGATGATATAAAGAGGTTTGATATAGTGCAGAAAATTGAGGATGTTGATGAGGGGTCTGGGGGTGCATGGCCTGCAGGCCCTGATGTTTCTGAAGGTGTTCAGACAGAGAGGATGTTGGAAGAGGAAGGCAATTCCCCGGTTGGGAGAATGGAGGCCACTGTGTGATAACAAAACTGTTTTGCAGGATGACAGGCTGGAAGAGAGATTAGATAAAGAGGCAAGGCTGCTTCTGCATGGGAAGAATTCCAGGTGCAAGTCAGGCAGTGGGAAAAAGCGGCCGAAGGAATGCTTTCATTCATTGCTGTCCTTATTAAGGGGGAAAACTGCTTTCAAGCAACTTGGCAATTAGAGCAAGGATCTCTTGCCCTGGTTCTTGCTCCAAGTCATGTCCTGGTCAAGTTTTTCTTTAAGTCTTGGGATTTTACCATGAACTCAAGCTAATGTATTGTTCTTTGATTCTTGGATCACTTAAGTGGATGTTTTATTCCTCGCCTTTGGATTATTCAAATTCATGAGGTTACCCTGCTCTTTGGATTTATATTCATGTTTTAACCTTTGCATTGGAGTTTTATCTCTAGTTTTTTGAGACTCTTTTTATCTTACCTATTGGATTTTTTACTCTTTCACTGTGTGTGCTTTTTCAATAAACTGTTTATTTCCTTGTTGGGCTTCCTGGTGAGTGCTTCAGCAAGGTGAACCCCAGCTGAGGTGCAACAGTTTTTACCTAAGAGTTAGTTCAGGCAACATAGCGTTCTAGTGAGAAGCTAAGCCTGAGTTCATTGGTTCTTGTTTCAAGTCAAGCCTTGGTTTTGGATTCAGGTATTCTGGAATTTCGATGTTCCTGTATTCATGTTCAAGCTTTTGCTAAGTATATTTTTTGCTTGAGGACTTAAGCTGTTCTTGTGATTTTGGCTATTCCTGGACAGTATTACCTTTGAATCTGTATTAGATATTTGGATACTTGTTGGATTATCACTTATTGCTAACCTGTTTGGATTATACATCCTCTTTCTTCATTCCTGATTTTTTTCCTATAGTTTTAATGTGTGTGTGTGTGTGTGTGTGTGTTTTACAATAAACTGTTTGCTTACATTTTGGACTGATGCATGGTGTTTCCAGGCCTAGAGTGCAACAGGAGGCATGGGCAGATTTAATAATTATAGTATGTGTTCTGTCGCCGCTGGGTCTGTAATTGGTTGGCTTTAAAAACAGGATGTGTAAACTTTGCCCAGCGGGAAGTCAGGGATCTAAGGAGAAGTTCTCAGAGGTTTCCACTACAAAGAATCTTCAGATGGCTTGAGAAGTACAACAACGTCTTTTATTAATGAACAATCAAACACGAACTTCTCTTATCTTTAGCAAAGTAAAGCAAATAATTCCAAGCTTCTAGGGAACTGGTGAATTCCTAAACTTGCCCATGAAGGACAGGCAACTATCTTCAGTAACTTCTTCTTTAAAGGAAAAACCCCTTTTTAACTTCTCCCAGGCTGACTGAAATCCAACCCTCACTGGTCTGGGCTCCGCTTCCGGGACGAACTGCTTCTCAGACGCCGAATGGACCTACCAGCAAGGCAGTGGATATTCTCCAGCTGGAGTTCTTTAGTCTTTAAGGCTGTTTCCTGGAAATTCCCAAAACTGAGGGAATGCTTCCCTGGAGTTCTTAGGAGACTCTTAAAGCTGTTCTCCTCTGGATTTCTTTCCCTTCTGTTTCTGTTGGAATTTCTGTAACCCTGGAAATTCTTAAAGGTTGAAGCCTTTGTACAGGGGAAATTACACACATCCTATACAAAGGTTAACCTGACTGAGACTGACTAACAAAATGACTTCCCTTCCAAAGCCTAAAAAGGGGGCGGGACTAGGGAACCTAATGATAACTGACAGGTGACCTGCCCTGTAACTGCAAACTTTAACAGGAAGCCACCCTTCTGCAAAATCCCAAGCCTTGGGCTGCAAACAAACACTTGATGCAAAGCAAATAAAGTGGGAGCTTCTGGTACAGCTGTACCTGCATAGTATGAATGCTGTTTAGTGTCCATTGTCTTCTGGTTTTCTATGCAGAACTGTCTTGACTTCTATGGAGAAAGGTGAAGGACCTTATTTTTCTTTCTCTTTTGTTCTATTCTCTTTGACAGATAAAACAGTGTTCTATTCTCTTTGACAGATAAAACAGTGATTTAGTCAATTAAGAAATAAGTTTTGTGTGGGAGGAGGTATTCCAAAGATGTTTTTAAATCATCAGTTCTAAATTGATTTTTAAAAAATAGAAGCTGCTGTCAGTGGCCCAGACCTTATATCTGTAGCTTTGCTTATCAGACCATTTCAGAACCCAATTATTTTCCCAAGCCAAGTCCCCTTTAAACTGAAAACTGGAGTTAGTTTGTACTGGCCTCCTTGTGAATCAATCTACGTGCGTGCCGATAGAGGCGCTCTCTCTGGAAGAAGATAAATGCAGCAGCATTGTTACGTGTGAATAATGGCGGTGCTATCAGACCTTTCTATCGATGACTGAATCATTTCTTTAGCTCACTTTCACACTGAGCTTAGAAGGTTTCTTATCTGTCCTGTTGCTGCTGCAATTCATTGTTATGCTTGTGCTCAATGCTAGCAAAATTTATCCTGGGTGTTGGTTTGCAAAGAATATGGTGTGTGTTAATCTTCTGATCTACAATTTGAAATTAGACTTCTTAAAACCAGTGCTCCCTTGAGTAAGGCAGGAGAATGGGAAACTATACAATGTCAAAGAAGCAGATGCCAGCATTTTTCTTGACACTGAAGCTTCTGGGGAGACTTTGTGCCTGCTCCTGCTGCTTTGACAGAGGTACTACTGTAGCTCAGAAAGAACCTGATTACACTAAAGGGAAAAAAGGATCAAGCAGAAGACTTTTAGCTCAAAGGCTAGGTATACAGCAATGCATTTTGGCTCACTACTACAATTTGTGCTTTGGTTCCAGATTTATGTTGTTTCTGTTTTAAGGGGATCTAGTGAACAGATCCCATGGTACACATATATAGTAATGTTAATGGTTCTTGAACAGGGAGTTACAAAATCATGAGGAGTAGATTAGGAACAAGTAGCTGTACCCAACTTCTGTGGCAAGGTGGAGTCTGAAAGGTGGACGGTCCCCTTAAGGCCAGATTTAAAAGGCTGAAGCATATATCTACAAATTCCAAACAACTGAAATTTCAGAGCTTATGTGTCATTATTTCCATGAAACACACTACAGATAGATTTGTTTGAGGTAGGGTGGATATGCCCAAGTTTATCTCACCTGAGTTTTTTAACATCAGCTTTTAATTAGTTTTTCTTTTTAACTATTACTTGTAGCCTGCCCATTGTCACTGTGATTGTGTTTATTGTATCATTATAAGTTTTATGTAATTAGATGTTGTTTATTGTTTACGTTTTCGATTTTATTCTGTTGTAATTTGTTGTTTGGGCTTGGCCTCATGTAAGCCGCCCCGAGTCCCCATCGGGGAGATGGTGACGAGGTATAAATAAAGATTATTATTATTATTATTATTATTATTATTATTATTGTGATGCTCATATCCACCCTATTGATATTTTAAGTTTTATTTATTTTATTTACTTTATTTTATAGCCTGACCACTCTCCTGCTAATAATCGACAATTCGATGTCGTTCAACATGAACCGTTAACTTAAAAATACAAAAGCATCATATATGCACAAATTAAAAACACAAATACATAATAAAACAGTATTAAAATCCATAATATTTTAAACCAGCTCCAACTCATTGCTGTAGTCACACTCCAATGCCATTTAACACAGTCCATCAATTGTCTTCCCCAAAGGCTTCCTTCCAGAGAAAAGTTTTTATTTGTTTTCTGAAACACAACTGGGAGGGAGCCATTCTGATGTCTTTAAGGAGGGAATTCCAGAGCTGAGGAGCCACTGTCAAGAAGGCCCTCTCTCTTAGTTTCCACCAGTTGTACCTGAGACAGGGGTGGGACCAAGAGTAGGGCTGCTCCAGCAGATCTTAGTGCTTGGACAGGCTCATATTGGTAGAGGTTGGGCCTGATAGGCTAGATAGTTTGGTAAGATAAGTTGGGCCTGAACTGTTCAGGGCTTTAAAGGTTAAAACTCAATGTTGGTAAGGAAGGTTATGTTCCTTTTGGGTCTTTCAATATGAAACCAGTGTCATACTAAGGACATGTTTTGTTAAAATTGGTGATTGGGAAGCATCTTTGTTGGACTGATCTTGTGTAAGAAGATAAGCAAAGTTCAGCTAAGGAGTGCGCTGGGCACATTGACTTTAAGCTCGTCTAATCGGAACACAATAGGTGATCCTGCTTAGATGGGCTGCCATCCAGTGTGATGGTGCTGTAATGGGAGGACATAGATGTAGATATCTAGTGCTCAACTTAGCTGAATGGCCTCCCAAACTCAACATGGCAACCTTGCCATATTGTGAAGTATAGTCACCCATGTTATCTTCCAAAGAAACGGAGACTTGTAAGACCTCTAAAACTGCCATCCTAACTACTGTGTTGAACTCAAACTCCTCCCAGAACATTGAAAATTACTAAGAACTACCAAACATTCCCAGGCATTGTGTCTGCGTTTCTGAGTTGGATGCATTTGGTATAAGCCTTGCTCCTGCTCTTCTCTATCCTCTTGTGGGCTTTTCTATTAGTAGATCTGTTAATGCATGTTCTTCTAGCAAAAGAAGTTTGTAGCCAATTCTTTGTTACCCAGTGCAACTTTGAGGTAAGATTGCACTGTAAATCCAGAGTCTGAAATTATTTCAAGACATTATCAGCACAGTGTTTAATGTAAACCAGTCCAAACTGTCTTAACCATATTTCTTTCTGCTTTCATGGTGTCTAAGCCCTAACTTGGTTGTAAAGATATATCAGTCTAGGAGCTATGATTGTGAATCCTAAATCCTCGATGCAAGAGTGGCATTAACATGGCAGTTTTGGTTCTGCTTGCTTTTTTTTTTTAATAGCGATTATCTCTCAGGAAACCTGAAGATGCACAGAGCAAGCAGAAGAAAGGTGGTGATAACGTCAGAGAGAGAATCATCAGGCGAGCAGCTCTTGAATTTGAGGATGGCATGTATGGTATCCTTTGGTTCTGCTGGATGTTTATGAGTTTTGTTTCCTCATCATTGAAGGTACAAGAGAATGACTAAAAATGTTGAAAAGGATTTATTGTACCTTGACTAATTTACTTCAGCTAACCTTGGCATTGGCATTCCACTGCTTGCCAGCAACTTCATTAGTCCAGACATAACGGTTCACCTGCAGAGTGAAAATGGAGTCCTTGGCCTGGTAAGAATAGACTATTGACGTCATAGCACAAACCTCTCTAATATGAGGATAAAGGGGAAAATGCAGAAAGGGAAGGAACATTTATGGAAGATACTGTTAAATGTTTCATTGAAAGGTTTATTCTGTGTGTTTTTATTAATCTAGGGACCTTATCCAACTGAAAAAGATGTTGACCCCGACCTCATCAATGCAGGTAAACCACACAACTGACATTTTTTCTAAGGCAGCATTTCTCAACCTGGGGGTCGATATCAAGGGTCGAGAGAACAAGCCCTATGAGGAGCGGCTTAAAGAGCTGGGCATGTTTAGCTGGAAGAAGAGAAGGCTGAGAGGCGACATGATAGCCATGTATAAATATGTGAGAGGAAGTCATAGGGAGGAGGGAGCAAGCTTGTTTTCTGCTTCCTTGCAGACTAGGACGCGGAACAATGGCTTCAAACTACAAGAAAGGAGATTCCATCTGAACATCAGGAAGAACTTCCTGACTGTGAGAGCTGTTCAGCAGTGGAACTCTCTGCCCTGGAGTGTGGTGGAGGCTCCTTCTTTGGAAACTTTTAAACAGAGGCTGGATGGCCATCTGTCAGGGGTGATTTGAATGCAGTACTCCTACTTCTTGGCAGGGGGTTGGACTGGATGGCCCATGAGGTCTCTTCCAACTCTGTGATTCTAACAGGACGACACTGGTGATTCTAACAGGTTGCGAGAGGGTTTCAGAGGGGTCACCAAAGACCATCAGAAAACATATATTTCTGGTGGTCTTAGGAACCCCTTTGGCAAAGAAGGCTGAAGATCTCTCTGCCTGTCCTTCTCTTCCTTTTTGGAAACAGAATCCTTCCACCAAATGCCCTCCTCCACTGTGATTGGCTGACCTCTCAGCCAGCCTCTCAGCCAAGGGGAGGGTTGTATTAAGTGGTTGCGGCATTAGGAAGGATGATAAACACTGCTCTAAGGATATCTATTTTCATGTTTCATTGGAATCTTTTCCAGATTGTTTTCGCCAGCAAATAAAACAGACACTTTTCAAAACTGTGCACTTCAGGCCTACTGTTTTTACCCAGTCCTCTGTGCTTTTTGCCTCCTTGGCTTTTGCAAACTTAACACTGAGTTTCTTCTACAGGCAAAGAAACAGTCACCGTGCTTCCAGGAGCTGCCTACTTCTCAAGCGATGAATCTTTTGCAATGATTCGAGGGTAAATAACGAAAGGCCTCATTTGCTAAATGTCAAGATTGCACACCCAGCTGATGGCTAAACTTATTAGTAATCTGTCCTAAAGTGACTCCGTGTCAGTCTCCTACAAAACAGTCATGCAATTAGGAGCTGCTGGCCAATGGGTCCCAGTAGATTTAGCAACTGGATATAGTCAGCTGGATTTAAGAGTTGTCAGTCTGGCTCCTGCTGGTAGGAATGCTTCACATTTTTCAGGGATGGGCATCACATGGCTCATGGGCCTCATGCGAATTGTAGTTTTATAGAGCAAATAGTGCTGGTGCCTCACTGAACAACAAATCCCAAGACTCCATAGCATTGAGCCATAACAATAAAAGTGTAGAGAGGAGGAATTGTTGGAGGCTACAGACAATGCTGTTGCCCGTTTTTGGTCAAAAAATATTTAGCTACCTGCGTGCCTTCTATTCTTATCAGTTTTATACTAATTTATGCAATGCTTTTGATGCGAAATAAATAAAACCTTGGGCAAGTCATTCTTTGTCCATCTTAGAGGAAGGCAGTCGCAAACCCCCTCTGAATAAATCTTGCCAAGGAAACGCTATGACAGGACCACCAGAAATCAGAGTCTGCTTGAAGGCACATAACAGCAACCAACAGAAGTGCTTTGTCCTTGCTGATGCTACAGTGAGACTGAATAGCTGCTGTTGTTGACCATTCAGAGGCATATAATATAAAACTGATTAATATGTTTGAATCCTTATTGTGGCTGTTCTTCCAAATTTGTTGAATTCCTGGTGTATTATTTTAACAGGGGGCACGTTGACCTGACTATGCTTGGAGCTATGCAGGTGTCTAAATATGGTGATCTAGCCAACTGGATGATTCCTGTAAGTACATTGAAAGGGTTTAATATTTTTCATTTTTATTACTGCATTTAATTTGAACAGATTGTAAATTTCTTTGGAAAATTTGCCTAAGGAAACAAAACAAAAATGTAACACTGGATATCTACAGGTTTCAGTAGATATGGTTACTTTTGGATGTGTGCACATTTCAGTTTTAACCCCATCTTTTTTTCACAGTTTGTTTGGTAGTGGTCACTGAATTTTCTTTTTATATTGTAACTGAAGATCTTATTTTAAACATCTACCTTGAGTTCTTGAACTATTTCCAGAGCCAGGTGTTCTGGTGATTTATTTACAGCATTTATATTCCACCCTTCTCACCCCAAAGGGGATTCAGGGCAGATAACAGAACACATATATGGCAAACATTCAGTGCCATTTGACAGATAGGAGAGACGACAGACAGACAGACAGACAGACAGACAGACAGACAGACAGACAGACAGACAGATAGATAGATAGATGATAGGCATTTTCCCAACTTCAGCGTCCTGGAGGTTGTGCTTGATTCTGGCCACAGGGGGTGCTGTTGCTCCATCCTCAATGTCAAAGAGCCCTTGATCACAGACTTCCTTCTTTCTTTTGATTGCTGGCATTTTCTGGTATTTCATATTTATGGTGTCATAAAATACCTCCCTGCTTAAGCAGTACCTAATTGATTGACTCACAGCTGTTTTCGAACTGCTTAGGTCAACTGTGAGCTGGGCTGAAGGTCAGGCGCTCACCCTGACCCAGGCTTCAAGCTGCCAACCTTTCATTTGGTAAGAATGTTTACAGCTGGTTATTAACCAGCTGTACTACAGCCAGACCCAAACAAAACATTTTCCTTGTGCAGTCAAGGAAATACTTTGTGTAAGACGAAGTTCTCACTCATTTTCTTTTAAATACAGGCAGGTAAAATAGGAAGTTGGAAGGAAGCCTTTCAACCGAGTGGGTGGTGTGCAGCTTTCCAAATGGTGCCAGACTGCAACTCCCATCATTTTTTACCCTTGCCTATGATGACTAAGGATCATAGGACTTGTGGTTCAACAATAGCTCATTCTACCTACCCCTGCTTTAAAACTAATTTGGGGAAAGCTGGTGATTTCAGGTATTCTTGGACTCCAGATATCCTCTAGCTTCAGCCAACTTGTCCAGTATTGAGGTATAGGGGAGCTGTATTCTATCAATATCTGGAGGGCAATGGGTTTTCTTCCCTTGCTGCTTACCCCAAAAGTAGAAAGAAAATACTTGCTAACAAAAATACTTGCTAACATGGCAACCTTTAATCTGTATAAAGAATTATTCCATTCCAGCACACAGACACACAATTGGGGGAATGCTTCCTGAGACAGAGTTCTCACTCATTTTCGTTCAAATATGGTTTATCATCTAAAGCCATTCATCCACCAACTGAAGTGTGTCTTTGCTTCAATACTTACTATTCTGATTATTCCCACCAAAAAAAAAAATCCAACATTTAACAGCCATATTGGCAAAAGCCTCAAATATAACTGGGAGGAGAAATTCAATCAATTTTCAAAGATAAATACATTTCTAGCAAGAAAGAAAAAGTAAAGCAGGGAGAGAAGACTTTAAAAATCCATCTGACAGTTTTCTTCTTGCAAGAATTTCCTCTTGTTATTACTGTGTAAGACTGGAGTTCAAAGTCAATTCACTTCCCACTGTGAACCCGCAACCTGTTATGTTCCAGTGTCAGCAGTTAAGCCTTTTCATGCATCCTCATCTAACAGCAATTTAGCGATCTGGGGAAAATGGTCTACTGTACCCATACGGTTTATTGAAGGAAAAGCAAAGCAAACTGAATATTTGAGCCCTCTCTATTTTTCTTGTTATCCAAGAATTTTCTTTGTTAGACTAAAAATCTCAACTTATGTCTATATAAATGTGCCCAAACTTTAAGATCAACAATCGAAGCCTTCCCTATAGCCTTCCAAACTTCCCTATAGTTTTGGATATACAGTTGATGTAATCTATAGTAAGTGTTCAGGGGATATAGAAGCTATCAGGAAGGCAACATATTTTAGAGACATACATGTTTTAGAGACGTACAAGAGATGGAGCACGATGATGCCAATGGGGATCCCTATATGTCCACTTGGTGATTATCATTAAATTAGTAAAAGTAAAAGATTTCCCCAACATTAAGTCTAGTTGTGTCCGACTGTGAGGGTTGGTGCTCATCTCCGTTTCTAAGCTGAAGAGCCGACGTTGTCTGTAGACACCTCCAAGGTCATGTGGCCAGCATGACTGCAAGGAGCGCTGTTACCTTCGCACAGAAGCGGTACCTATTGATCTATTTACATTTGCATATTTTCAAACTGCTAGGTTGGCGGAAGCTGGGCCTAACAGCGGGAGCTCACCCTGCTTCCCAGATTCGAACTGCCAACCTTTCGGTCAGCAAGTTCAGCAGCTAAGTGGTTTAACCTGGTGCACCACCAGGGGACCCATCTTCAAATTAAGGACCAATAAATCATCCCCTATGATCTTCAAATGAAACAGAATGTCGTATACCAGAGTAGGAATTCATCAGACACAATTACAGGCTGAACAGGCTGACCTACAGCACAGAACAGGATTTGGTAACACCAAGTTATTTTTGCTATACTTAAAAAAATAGAGATGACAAAAAATCTTTGGTTTTGTTTCCAGATTTGTGGGTCTCTGTGCATGTAATTACAACCATTGTAATATGTACAATGGTTGCTTCAGCTCTTTGTGGCATGCCTTAGAATACAGTCCTGTGAACAAAGTGTCTGAGAATAAATCCTACTCAACACAGCATTACTTGCTTCTCAGCAGGTATAAAATTGCATTACAAGTTCATAACAAAGTGTTCTCCATATGTTGTTGAACAGCAGCACCCTGCCTCTCTATACAACATAGCCAATGGAAAGGAGCAATTGGAGTTGTAATCCAACAATTCCAGAGCTCTACAGGATTCCTGCCTTGTGATAATAATCTTCCTGGACTGACTTCCTTGTGCACAGTGGGACTGCTTTGGTTAATTCTTTCAAACAGAAAGGAAAAGGCCAACCATTTTGCTACACGTGCTTTGGAAGAGATCAGCTTCATGTTCTCAAAGCAGTTTGTGCATCTTAATGAGTTCTCTGGATTGGGACAGCGGACCAAAACCTGGCATTGGAGGTTGGCACAACTGTCAACACTCTGAGACCTTAAAAAGGCTCCCTACTGAATCCATCTCCATCCAACTGAATCATTGGCACTCTTTTGTCCAGCATTGCAAGCCACCATTTTACGGTCCACACAAAGCCTTTATGGCTTCAGTTTAGCAACGTCAGGGTCCTCGAGGGAAATAAAGTGGTGCGTACCAACAGCCCAATTTTCTTCCTTGACTGGATTATATGTATCTCCCATGCCCCCCTTACCTTGAGGGAAGGAAAATGAGCACCATAATTATGCATTGGGACACTCGCCACATCTGATTCTGGCAACACTATAGACTTGGTTACTTTTCCAAACTCTGCCTCGGAGAAAGTGAATGGATGAGCAAAGGAGGCATATTGGAATGCCGAGTGGAAAACTTCCAGGCTTAAGATGACCTTTTTATTCTTAAACAGAAAAGAAGTCTTGCCTGGTATTCTGTATTGCAGTAAGGGATTTGTAACCAGGAGTTACAGGCCTGTAACGCCACTGAATTCATTAATATTCCTAGCCAGCAGACCTCTAGCTATCAGTTGTAAGGGGAAAAGAGATTTGTTCAGTTGCTGACCACCAGGACACAAGAAGAATGGCATTATAGCCCCTTCCCACCAATGAACAAAGCTGTTACAATCAAGCATGTACTCCTGTTAGCTTCCTATATTTGCTCACTCTTGTGTTGTCTAAATATCATGTTTAGAAAAGCAGTGCCTCAAGTCTGTTGCAACAGGTCCGTTTTTCCTAGAATTGCTGCATGGAAATGTACGTATCACAATGAGTTATGTCACCTTTCTGGGAAAAAATAAATAAAACGGTGCTGGGTGGTGGGGAGACAAAGCATTGAAATTGATATTGCAGTTTCTTTGATTAATGCTGCTTTTATATTGGTAAAATAGTCCCAAGCCATTGACGATCATGCTTCCAGAGCAGAGGGGTAGGAAGTAGAAGAGAGATTAAAAGTGATGGATGATGTCTCCTAAGGATTTATGAATATTAATACCATAAATACTGGTGTGAAGGATACGACACAACAGCAAATAAACTACTGAATTGGGGACAAATGCCCCGAAGCAAACAGTTGATGAAGCCTAAAGAATAAATCTGGGAAAACTTATCATATGAATATATAGAAACTGGCTGAAAACTTTTTAAATCTGCTCTCTCTTGTATTCAGAAATGGTTCTGATGAAATGGTTGTGCTTGGTAGCTGTTTATCCTGAGCAAAATCTTATTACTGAAGCTATTTTATATAGAGTTGGACCATCAGCGTGTCTGCTCTTGACAGGAGCTCTCCAAGGACTGAGCTTTTCTAGCCTTAGCTGTATTAATCTTTAAAGTGCTCTTTTTAAAAAAGGGCTTCAAACTTCCTAATCTTATTTACCATCATAGCAGCTCATGAGGTAGTGAATATTGTGAAGGGGAAAATCTCTTTCTCATGGTTCTTTCACTTAAGAAATTGTAGATTCTATTATTCCAGGGTAAATAAAAATCTCTGTAAGTAAGAGGACTTAGAGCTCATATGCGAATCCCTCTGTGTGCCAAGGGAGGAATAGGATGCATCATATAAATTGGTTCTCAAATGAAGCTCTACAGAAGTAGTTCTCAACCTGTGGATCCCCAGATGTTTTGGCCTGCAACTCCAGGAAATCCTAGCTAGTTTACCATCTGTTAGGATTTCTGGGAGTTGAAAGCCAAAATATCTGGGGATCCAAAGGTTGAGAACCACTGCTCTACAAGAATACGGTATATTCACCAAGGAAACCTAAGGGAATTCATCCTTTCTCCCAGTTCACATTGGAAATACCAGAGTACTGTAAAGA